CACAAAACATTTTTGGAGTTCTTGGGGCTATAACTTTCTTTCCTTTAAGGGCATGACACTGAAATTAATACAGGCAACAATACTTCACTCCAGGAAAATTTTGGAATAGGCGTTTTGTTGGTAGAGAGTCACGTGACCCTCTAGTGGCCAATTAAAAAATCAAAATTCCCAAAGACTTCTCCTCCAAGAGAATTAAACCTGAAAGTGTGATACTTTGCACAAATATAGTGCACATAAAATTAAAGAACTTGTCCGATTTGGAATCTCAAATTTCATTTTTGTGACGTCACAACTGATGACGTCACAAAATGGACTTTTTGGTCATGCGCAGTACTAACCCAAAAAATGTAGAATTTGAAAGAAAAACTTAAGACAAATAGAAAGTGAAAGTCTCAACTCATTATCTTCTATAGTTTAAGAGATATTTGTGACATTCCACGCATATTTTTAAACAAACTGTGGACACATTTTGTGGCCGATTTTTAGCACTTTTTTTCCCAGCGTGTTTGTCGTTGTATATCACTCACTTGTTATCGCAGAACATAAATTTATAGGCTTAAAAAGTAGATCAATATTTTGATTAAGTATATAGCTGATTCAATGACGGTTTCTTTGGACATTAACAATTTCGCGCTGGGAAGCTATTGTTTGGTGTTACCTCACGCTACGCATTGTAGTGAGTTTCATTTGCCCAAGTTCCCAATGACCCCCAATTACCCATGACTAATTGCCAACCTTTCAAGCTGGAACAATATGGCTTAAGTTTAGAGCGTAATGAAGCTCGTCTGTTTTCATTATGATAGAAGGTTGGCAATGTCCTGGGCGTATTTGTTTTCCCATTTCGGACCACGTGATGTTATTCCAGAGTGGTCATGGATTGTGATACTTTTAAATAAAATTATCCCTTAAAAGTTGTCACTTTAAGAAGTAAACGGTACATCAAGACTCAAGACTGTGTATATAGTTCCTGTGAGAGATACCCTTAAATGGTGCCTTCGAGGAAGACTAAATGACGGTTCGAAAGCATATTTTTCTGATTGAACTTACCATATGTTTCGTTTGTGTGGTGAATCAGTCCCTGTGGCCCACAGGAAAAAGCAACATGGCCGCTGTTCGGCACTCGACTGCTAGAAGCTAAAAAGATTATTCATCAAATGTAGACGTAAACCTAGTTAATGGACTATGTTGACTATGACACGAGTTCCTCCCTAGGTTATCGCCCATGCAGCCGATGTTTTGCAGAGGACATCAGCGACTCGCTTAGATTATTTCCACCTGTCTCTTTATTTCTATCGTTCGACTTTATCCGTGTGGTAGATGTATAGGATGAAATGTCTTGTTTTAAAATATTTTCTTTAAAATATTTAACATTGATTGAACAGTTTAATTGTTCATAGTAGCGGTTGTTGATATCAAGTCAGCAGATCTAGAGCAACACTCCTCTTGGTTTCAGACTATTCCCTGCCAACCTGGATTTATAAAATGATGCCTTTCAGCTAGCCGCATAGTGTTAAAGGACCTTATGCTTCATCAGTCATTCTC